CAGAATATTATTTGATGCATTTTCATTTACTGTTTGTGATGAATGATTTCCTAAACTGATTTATACAAAAGCCACTAATGGTATATCTGATCCTGTGTAAGAGCTGAAGAACCGGATCACTTGCCGGAAAGAGGCATCTAGACATAAATTCTCTCTAACCGACTCGACAACCTGGAAGATACGTTATACGCAATAATATGTGATCGATCACAAAGGTGCAAGAAGAATCATTATACCTTTTAAGTAAGTGTATATACGCAGTGAATCCACTAGCTACAAGCCCTCATGTAACGACTGGGGTGATTATCCGCATTTTTACTAGCAAAGGAATAGAAAGAATGAATCATTGAATCGCCTATTTGTAGAGAGGACAGAATATTCGGTACGTTGCTGCTTTTGATATAACAGTATTATACAGTAATTTGAACGTAGCAGAACGAACAGAAAGAGTGAACAGTAGTAAAAAACCATTTGCCGGATATCGAAAGTGCAAACTGAAATGGCTCCTGCCTAACTCCATGCGGACAATATGACACGACTGACGGATGACCGATGGATGGATTCGCATCCAAGGGGCTACAAGCTCCCAACTGCAAGACCTCAGCTCCGATGGCACGAGGAACTGAAAGGGAGATGAGGAAGCTTATGGCGACAAATCGCACAAAACAGGAGAGCGTGGACATTAAGACTAGGAGGCTGTGATCCCGTAAATTACGAAAAAGGACCAGTAACTTGTCGTTGCTGCTGTGTCAATATAATAATTATAAATTTTGACATTAACCTGATCGCTGGTATCTCTTGAAACTAAATTAAACCTGATTTTGAGCTGGGATACGAGTCTGCATATTTAAGAGAACGTTCGAAATGAAAATTAATATCTTATCTATGCTCCTTAGTAGCCCACCCAGCAGCACTGACACGCCGTACCTTAGCAGGTTCATTTTCACAGTAGTCACCTCTACCTCCTAGAAATGTGTTGGTAAAATATTCTAATACGTTTGTTACATTCGCTTAATTACAATGCCCATTCTTATACCGTTTTTGGCCTGACATAAGAAGGGTTTTCATACGCTATGTCGCCAATACAATTAAACGAGAAGGTATTTAAGCTCCCTTGTCACAAATGCACCGTAATTAATACAATTTCTGCCATTTACTTATTACACATCTAATTAGTTATGCTCCTGATTTTATAGGACATCGACTGATATACGACATTGGCGAGCTGCAAGTTGTCAAACATAGGCAAATTTCGCTAATGATCTCCTAGTATACTATTAGATTGATCAGAGCGGCTATTTTTTTATACAAGAGCTGTAAGACAATATTTATGCCCCGTCAGGTATAATATAAATTGTTCTGTCTAATTAAGCAGCTCAGGATTTAACAAATTTTCCAGACAGTGATGATAAAACAGGTTATGCTTATTTTTTGAAGCTTAGATGAAGTCATAGACCTCTAAAGAGTTTTGAGCCCGAGGGTTTTGAGGTTTTCTCTTTCCCTCATACTCAGAACAGATTTTCTGGGAAAGAACGCAATCGCTTTGGAAATGTCTCGTTATCACTGTGGACAGTGCAAATGTAAGCTG